GGGGGGGGGGGGGGGGGGGGGGGGGGGGGGGGAACGAGGCCAGCCTAGGGTGAGAGGAGCCTCAGCTTCCACGATGCGTTTGCTCCTGAGATCAACACTCTCACTGAGCAGGATAGTGACAGGAAGTGCCTGTGCTCCTCTCCAGACTGCCCCTTCTTTCTTGTTCTTTTTTCCAAATTAAGCACCTGTAGATGGGTTGTATAAGAGACATGAAATTCCACTACCAAGACTGTTTTGGGTTCTGGGCACACCTGCCATGTAAACTCAGTCCCCACCTCAGCTTACTCTGCTGTAGAAGGGAAAGCAACGTGCTCCCCTTTGCCTGCACATTCATTCCTGGAAATTGCAGAAATGGGATACACCTGGGAGAAGAGCAGCCTTCTTAGAACAGGGTTGTTTCCATAGAACTATTCGAGGGCATGGTTAGTTCCCTCTATGTCCTTTCTCAGTCATGTGATAGTTACACAATTCTCTTTTGAAGTGCCTGTACCTGCACTCTACTGTAGATTTCTCTTCTGTGATTGATTAATCCAACCCTGCCCAAATCTCATTTGTCAGCAGCATTACAAACAATTCAGGTGTTTTCTCCAGCATCATTTGTACCAACTGCATGAAATTCTTCTTTTTGCAGTGGATTGGCATTTCATGTCCTTGTGCTCTCCAATATTTGTGAAATGTGTAACCCACTAGAGACTGACCTGCAAAACAGAGATGTGTAGGCAGGTGGGACCGACACTGCTTTAAGGATGGAAGAGTGTCTGAGTAGGAGCTAATGTGTAAGGGGGCAGTCCACTCGTGTTATATGGTGACTTTTGATGTCCTCCCTAACTGCTGAGACTTCAGTCATGAGTATTGAAATAATGAGAACTCCCTCTTTTCATTGATGTCACTGTGGATTCTTGTGATTGGTGCTGGGGGAGAAGAAATGAGAATCGCCAAACACAGGTACTCTATGGGGGCTCAGAGGAAAGAAAGAGGGTGCACCCACCAGACAGTCAGCGAGGCTCCTGGAGAAGCTAACTTTGGATGGAGGGGAAGACCCTCAGCACAAAGGGTGGGTCCCATCGGTTAAACCCCAATTTCTGTGAACAAGTTCTCAGAGGTGAGCACTAAACTGCAGTGCTTGTGTTTGGGGAAGAGCGTGTAGCTGGAAAAATTGATGTAGGTCAGCATTTCCCAGAATCCATTCTCAAACAAGGTGCCATGAACCACACAATGTGATCTTGGTAAGCATCCCACACCTGGAGGCTGCTGGTATAAGATCTTGTGCTGGTCAGGGTTCTCCAGAGGAATAGAGCCAATAGGATATATCAGTAGGATATACATATATATATGGGAATTGACTCACACAATTATGGAAACTGAGAAGTCCCACCATCTGCTGTCTGCAAGCTGGAGACTCAGCAAAGTTGATGGTGTAGATTCTAGTCTGGGTCTGAAGGTCTGAGGACCAGAAACACCGAGAGCCAGAGAAGATCTGTGTCTGGTGAAGCAGTCAGGCAGAGAACACATTTAACTTCCACCACTTTTCTGCTCTATGCAGGCCCTCAGTGAATTGGGTGAGGCCCACCCACACTAGGGAGGGCCATCTGCTTCACTGAGTCCACCTACACCAATGTTAATCTTCTGGAAATACCCTCACAAACACTCCCAGAAATGACATTTACCCAACTCTCTGGGCACCTATGGCCCAGTCTCGTTGACACATAATATGAGCCATCGCAAATGTAGACCAGTGCTGTCCAGAAGAACTTTCTGAATGACAGGTTCACTGACCAATATGGTAGCCACTCATCAGGTATGGCTACTGAGTACTTGAAAGGTGGCTAGGGCAGCTGAGGCACTGAATTTTTAATTTTATCTGCATCTAGCAGATCTCAGTCAGGGATGAGTGCAGCAGAGAGCTCAAGCATCTGGTTCTAATAGTATTTCATGGGCCTGAATTCAAAGAGGTCAATGGGAAGAATAGTGTCATGGATGAGAGGATGGGCACACTCTCTAGCTGTGTGACTCTGGCCCTGCTGCTGTGCTTCTCTGTGCCTCTTGGCCTCGTCTGTAAATTGGGAATAACCTTACTGTCATTTTGTGTGTATGTAGAATTGGGTCATGGAGAAGTAATTCCTTGAATTCTGAAGGGGTCAGTCTCCAAAAGTGAAATTTTAGGATTTTTAGGGAAGTATTTCAGGGTGAGACAGGTCTGGTTATTTTGCTTAGATGAAAAGGGGTGCTCAGCAAAAAGATGTTTTGCCCATGATATTTTAGGCTTGATAACAAAGAAACCTATCCACAGTGAGGTGAGGTCTTAGCTCTGTCCCTGCAGGCTGTGTGCTGCCGCACATGGGTCTGGTTCACCCAGAACAGGCTCAATATTTGCATGAGATGGGCTAAGAGGGGCATTCCAGTTCCACGTGGACCCCTCTCTTCATATTCACTTTAGTGTCACAGCATGTCCCTTGAAGACATTGGGGCCCATGACACCTGTCTACAGGAGCTTGTGTGGACCTCATGTAGGTGAGAACACAAGGCAGTTGTACTGTGCACATGTTTGAGGGTGTTTGTACATGCATGTCAAGGAGAGTGAAAGGTGTGGATGGTGCCCACACATTCACATCTGACAATTCACTTCAGACACATCTGGGAAAAGAACAATAACAAAATCAGTAAACGTCATGTAAACTTGACCAAGCAAATGCAGAAGGCCACAGTTAAAAGCTAACTGGAAGAAATGCCCGTGTCGCTGTCTCTGATGTAACCATTTTCATTGCCTGTCCAGAGGGAAGGGTGTTTTGACTATGGAGAGTGAAATGACTGAAAGGTATGCGGGGGGGCGGGGAGATTCTTCCATGTGAGACAGGGGAGATCTAACTCAACTGGAACCCCCATGCTGGGGCATGTGATTATACTGCATGCCTCCTCTGATGGACAGAGATCACAGTGATTCCCCCACTGATCCACCATCTCCCATCATCTGATCCACCATCTCCCTCCACTAATCCACCATCTCCAGATCAGGCTGGGGTGGACATGCAGAACACCACCTGCCCAAGTCTTCCTTTGCCACAAAACCCCATTTCTCTGCTGTGATTTTACTTTATTGGTAGAAGTGGGTGCCGAGAAAAATCTCAGACCTAGTTCAGCTCTTGACCTTTGCCCTTAAGAATGATGAGGCCTGACAGCTTAATCTAGTTCCCTCAGTACTTCCTTCCGAGAGGGAACTTTAAGTACCAGCCCAGGGCAATTAAGGGAACATGGTGGCCCTGAAAGACTTAGTGCAGTTTCTAAAGATGTGAGTTAAATCCAGGAAATGGTGCAAGCCCATGGGAGACTCTGGCATTTGAATAGAATGACCTACTTAGCGGAAAAGCTGGTGGATCAGGAGTTCCAGGCAGTGACAAGTTCCCTCCTTTATAAGAAGGCTGCTCATACCTGAGGAGGTAGATCTGGTGCATCCTTAGCAAAGCACACTAGAGGCAGAACTTCAGAGCTAAAAGCACTGGGTCTTTGGAGCTGCAAGCCCTGGGGTCAGTTATCAGGAAAGGGAGTTGACAGAGAGGTGGACATGAGTGAGCTTGGGACTAGGAAAGCCATGTGAGGAGTACAGAGAGCTATAGAGAACAGAGAAATGTTGTTTTCTGGGTCCCACAAACCTTTTCCTCCAGCCCAAATGAGTCTGGGGCATCATTTGGCAAAACCAAAGCTGGAGAAAAAACAAAGAAAATGGAATATAGTGC